TTCTCTTTTGTCCACATCCAGGGGCATTAGCTAGAGTGCCATGGGTTGTAAACTTCTTGATAATGTTGTGCACAGTGGACACAAGAACATTAAGATCCCTGGAGATGGACTTGTAACCTTGAGATTGTCCATGCTTTTCCACAATTTTTGTTCTCAAATCCTCAGGCAATTCTTTGCTGCTCTTTGTCTTCTCCATGCTGCATGTGGCACACAGAGACACAGAACAGAAATGTTGAGTCAGTTTTTCACCATTTTAACTGGTTGCCAGTGTGATTTCTATATTGTCAGCACCTGTTAATTTATATAGGTGAGTTTAATTACAAATTACAGGAGCATCACAAACTTGGAATGCAATTATTTCTTACAATTTTGAGAAAGTGCCAATAATGTTGTGGGGTTTTGTGTGGAATGTGTCAGATTTGTTTGTTTGTTTCTCCACTTTTTGTGTCATACCAATACAAACAAAAGTAATAAACATGAGAATGCCTAAATATTTGTAATTGCAATAGTTTTCTGGGCAAAGTGATGCATTATCTAACAGAAATGCAGGGGTGCCAATATTTTTGGCAATGACTGTAGTGTTACATAATATCGAAATTTATGTAGGCGTGATTTCTAAATGTCCTCCTGAAAACAAGAAATGAGTGACAAATATAATAGCTGGAATACTAAATACAAAAATTCGAGTTTAGTAGTAATCACACCACACCTGTCTACATTATAGCTCATATTTTGAGTTAATAGTCAGAAGCCAGAAATAAATACTAAAATGATGTCATCATTACTATGTCATAATTACTTTGTAATAGTACTTTATTGCTATGATGTCTCCAATCTTGTCCAATTTTGTTCTATTTATATTGTATTACGGTGTCTGTGGAATTTTTGTATTTTGCATATGTAAACCCAATCATTAAAATATTTTTAGCCCAGTTCCAGAAATATTTGTTTAAATAATAGCCTTACAGGGGTTAAAAAAATGTAAGCTTTTGTTGCTATACTCACCTCCTCATGGTCATTGTCCCCTGCAGACTCCCATTTCTTTTGTCTACCATCAGTCCTTTTTCTAGCTGAATAATGTCCAACATCTTCCAGTGCACTTCCGGTGAACCCAAGGACCTGCTCCCTGGAGATGCATTATCAGCCTGCCCTGGACTGCCATGAGTATACTATGGAGAATGGTACCACATCATTATGTGTTCTCTGCAGCATTTGGGACTCCGCAGCCTTGGCCCCTAATATCACCAAAGGGATGCGCATTGTTTTCAGTGAATGTAAGGCTACAGAAAGCTTTGAGACTGCATATATGCAAGGAGATGGTTAAAGGCATGCTACAAGAGTTGGTCAGACAATGCATATATCCTGCAGGACATGGTCAGAGGTTGTGAACATGTTATAGCAGTTATTGGAGACTAGGCACATGCTTCAAGAGACTCTCAGACATCAAAAAAAGGTTATTATGGCTTTGGGTGTGATTGCAACCATCCCTAATATCTCCAAGCAGTTTATTTGTTGTCCTGTAAGGAGATTTTGCAGGCAACCAATACAAAAATAAAATTTTATATAAAAGACACACTTATATCACACATACATCCATAAAATCCACTTCAAAATCTCTTATTACAAACACATTTTGCAGAAAGACAACAAAAAGGACAACGTAAGATCAAAAAATATGTCAAAGTTGTTGTTGTAAATTGTGACAAGGGGTGCAGGGAGAAGATCCTTTGCCCGCTGTCACAGGGAGGGGGATCGGGGGGGAGATGCTGAACATGTTACATGTTACACATTCAGAAAGGTGTATCCTTTAAAGCGGTAGTAAACTACAAAACAAAAAAAAAATCCCCTGCAAGGTAATGTCATATATGTACATATATACCCACATATTGGATGCCACATTCACACTCCAACATGTAAACAACCCACTGCATATTACATGTAATCATATCCTTAATTTCAAATTTGTACCTTGTGGCCATGGCCATGAACTCTTTCCTTTTCTCCATATTAACCTCGGATGTTTGCAGGCCACACACATAAGAGAAAAATCCAGATAGGAAGGAACATAGAAAATTCTCATTACATATAGGGGGATCAACCACCCGAGGGGAGGAGCCACACCTGTGATGTCACCTGCGGCTATCTTGTATCCACGCTTTGTGACTTTGAGTGCTTGGTTATGCACTTTGGGTAAAAGCGCCTTCTTTATAAGTGTGTTTTTAATATTTTCATAAAAGTTTATCATAAGGAGAGCACTATCCTTTTGACTCTTTCCATATGAGGTTTGGATCGATTGTAATATATATCATCCGAGACTGATTGAGGTCTTCAGTTTATATGCCCCAGAGGGGAAATGCAATGTCTAACCTTTCTGTTAATTCAGAGGTCATAACCCTGGAGGTGAGTGGCTGTGATTTTGTTTGGTGAAGGGGAGTGTACACAATCCACACTTGGATATCTATGCACGCTATACTGCTTATTATTATCTGGGTTCCCCTGTGGACTATTGCTATATTTATACTTGCGGTACACTTTGTTTGTATTAATGCTCTTGGGTAATGTGGAACTTAGTGTTCAGCGTGCAATTAATAGGTTCATTTAATTTATCTTGTTTGCGCCAATTTCTTTCCTTTATAAGGGAAACACAGACTACTGTAAAAATGGGCCCCGTGGGCCACACAATCAGTGTCAAAGGGCTGCATGCGGCCAGCAGGTTGGACAACAGCTCTAAAAGCTCTCATATGGTAGACTTCTAAATGCTACGGAAGCAAAATGTTTTTGAAATTTTGACAGATATATCATGCAACAATTCAATCATACTACACCACAATATGGGACGTAAAGGTGTAACTTCAATGACAATTATGTATAAAAATATTATAGTAGAATTTCGATCTATCAAGTCTTATAAATCTAACAAGTCTAAAAATGTCCCCTTCCCCATCCTAACACTTATGCTGATCAACCTGTATAAGAAAGTTGTAAATACTTACCTATTTTAAGCCTGCTCTGACATGATCCCCTTCGTCAGCCAGCAGCGGCTGCAGGGTAGAGGATAGAGTGCTAAACAGCTGGTATAGCCTGGAGCATTGACTTCACCCATAGGCTGCTATGGCCCACCCTTGTTTGGCGCTCTCTCCTCTCCCCTGCAGTTGCCACCGACTGACATGGAATCCGAATCATGTGACCAGACCAGATCTGACTGAAAATAGGTAAGTATATACATCTGTTAGGGATCCGGGTGTGACCAGAAATGTGTGGACTGACACAGGGAAGTAGCAGGCTTCAGGAACACAGGCGTAGTCAGGGCTGGAGAGGTGGAATGGTCAGGCGGGCCGTAAGGTACTGTCAGGCACCGCCCGGCAGGATCTCTAGTGACCCACAGACCAGGATTCCCCAGGGCGCAGAGTCTAAGCCCCAGTCTGACTTTTCACCAGAGCCCCTGATGGTGGGGATGGACTTGGCGCCGCAGGACTGAGACAAGGTCGTGGCCCCTGAGTGCACCCAACTGTGTTAGAGGGGTCCGCCGAGGGTATGTACCGGGTGAAAGCCTGATGTGAAGGGGCTGGCAGGTTTGGACAGTAGTGACTGGATCCGTACAGGAAGGATGGATCGTCTGGGTAGCGTCAGGCGTAGTCAGGCAGGCCAGGTCAGCAACGTGCGGGCAGTGAGGTACCGGAGGAGCAGGCAGAGAATAGTCAGGGTCACAAGCCGGGTTCAGTAACTCACGGGCAGCGCGGTACAGGGGATCAGGCAGAAGGATGGTCAGGCAAGCCAGGGGCTCAACAGGAGACGGTGGTCAGGATCAAAGCAGGGTCAGCAACTAGGCAGATAGGCAGGAACACAGGATACCAGGTACAGGGGCTCATGGGAAACATACACCAAGGCACTGATCATAGGCCTGGTCCTGCTTAAATACACCTCCTGCAATCCGCTTCAGCTGATGGCTGACTGCAGGAGTGAGCTTCTGGTTGCTGAGAGCACCTGCTGGCCAGCCCTGGTACTGCAGCCCACACGGCAGGTGAGTCCCACCACCAGTGGTGAATCCATTCCTGACAACATCTTTTTTTACACAGCTTATACAACATAGGTATTAGGAGGGGGAAAGGAGTTACTGTGGGTTTAACTGGAATTCTACTTTAAGAGACCTAGCTATGGGTGTATAAATATGCAATGCAACAAGTTAATGTATTATACATTGCACAAAAGACAAGCAATGTTTGGTTGAGCTGCACAGCCATTATATATTGCTCATGGAAGGGTGGCATGGTACAAACTAAACATTGAAAAACTGTATGACTAATAGCACTGCTAACGGAGCACCACAAGGAACCTGGCAGTAACCTTCTTAGGAAGTAAATTGTCCACTTTATACCACACATAATACCATAAAACTGTGGAAATGGTTAAACCTTAATAGAACTTAGATCAGTTAGTAGTCTTTTTGTCCATAATTTGAAAACTGATGAATAAGTGGAGCTGAAACCCAATATGTATGTAACTGTTATTTTATTTATTACAGGTACTTAAAGTGCTCAGAATAAATGAGTAAACCTCTTATAAAAAGTAAGATTTTAATCAATATCTCAATAAACCCAAGAAAAATTTCCAAAATTTTGAAAACTGAGTTTTAAAGAACATTTTTTTTAGCTCATTACATGAAAGTAAGGTGAATAATATAACTTAGATTACAAAATCTTCAGTTTTACTCAAATTAGTTGATGCAAAATGAATACACCCCACAACAAAAACTACTCCATCTAGTATTTTGTATGACCTTCATGATTTGACAGCTATAAGACTTCTAGGCATGGAATGAACAAGTTGGCGGCATATTGCAACATCTATCTTTTTTCCATTCTTCAAGAATGACCTCTTTTAGAGCCTGGATGCTGGATGGAGGGTGATGCTCAACTTGTCTCTTCAGAATTCCCCATAGGTGTTTGATTGGGTTCAAATCAGGAGACATACTTGGTCACTGAACCATTTTACCCTGTTCTTCAGAAATGCAACAGTGGCCTTAGATGTGTCTTTTGGATCATTGTCATGTTGGTCGTTGTGTACTTTTCCAAGGGCACAGAGTGATGGTAGCATCTTTTCTTTTAATATAGAGCAGTACATCTGTGAATTCATGATACCACCAATAAAATGCAGCTCCTTGACACCAGCAGCACTCATGTAGCCCCACAGAAGGACATTACCACCACCATGTTTCACTGTAGGCACCATGCATTTTCATTTGTACTCCTCACCTTTGCAACCCCATACAGTTTTGAAGCCATCAGATCCAAAAACATTTATCTTGGTCTCATCACTCCAGAGTACAGAGTCTCAGTAGTCTTCTTTTTCAGCATGGGCCCTGGCAAATTCTAGGTGGGCTTTTTTTTTTGCATGGGCTTTAGGAGAGGCTTCCTTCGTGGACGACACCCATGCATGGCATTCCTCTGCAGTGTACCCCGTACTGTTTGTCACAAGAAACAATCATCACAGTTTGGCTTTCTACTTCTTTAGCAAACTGCAGTGAACTTGCATGGCAATTTTCTTCAATCCTTCTCATAAGAAGACTCTTCTGTTGAGGTGTTAACTTTTGTGGATGGCCTAGACATCTCTGTGAGATTGTTTTGCAGTTCCATCTTTGTTAAATATTTGTATCACTTTTGCTACAGTATGCTGACTGATAAGTAAAGCTTTGCTGATCTTCTTGTAGCCTTCACCTTTCTTGTGTAAAGAAATTCTTTTCTTTCTCAGGCCTTGTAACATTTCTATTCCATGTGGTGCCATTGCTAACAACATGAAATGGGGAGGGGTTTTGTTTGTTAAAGTGTTACTAGACCCAGGACCCTGCATTCACTATATCTGGTCTCCCATAGTACACAGAACATGGAAATGCAATTATTTTAGTAAATATAAACTGTTAAATACCTTTTTTCATCAGCAGTTAGAGCAGTCTTGTGACTTCTATCAGTGTTCAGCAGAGCACTGCTTAAAGCTTGTAGTAGGAGTTTTCTTTCTGCTCTAGGAGGATGCAGAACCCCTGATCCCCTGTCTGGACAGTGTTGATTGGCCCTGTGCTGCTGATCACATGCACTCTCCCAAGAAAAAAAAAACCCTTTCTAGCAATACACACCAAACTGAGCATGTGCAGAGTGACTCCACATGATGTGTCTTATCAGGAGATAAGGGGAGGACACTGGAAGAAGGGGAGGATCAGAGAAGTCGGGATAAAACAGCATTTTTACAAAATGCAGAGGATTAACCCCTTAGGTTCCACAGTGAGTATACCAAGCATGCTTTACTGCATATACAGACTGATTTTACTGTTGTGGGTTTAGTAACACTTTAAGTAACAACCTTTTATAATAAACTGTCTGCTGGATATCTGTTTAATGAATATTTAGACTAATTTTTGCCGCATTATATCTATTTTTTATAGTTATTTATTTTTTTTTTTTTTCTATTTTTTTTTTTATATGTAGTAGAATGCTTGTTAATTAGGATTTTTGTGACGTGTGCCGCTCAGTCCTGTATGATAACATGGTCTATATATGATGATGCTTTAGTACCTGTCATTTCCAGTGGCAATTTTTTTTTTTTTTGGATCTCAAATCAACCAGAAATATTTTGAAGAGTACAGTGCATTTGTGAAGCGGAAGCTCCTTGTGAGCTACTAATACCCACAGAGCGGCTGCATCACATATGGCACTGTGGATACCAGGCAGTGAGGGGCACCTGACCAAGACCAGACCATTGAGGGATCTCCAGTCCTCTGGAATTGATATTTCTTAATGCGCATTTTGATTGCGTATCTGGTGAGTGTGCAATCTTATCACACTTACCACCATAGCACCAGACTAGACCACTGGACTTTGAAGATCATCTGGATCTCCTGTGCACTTTTCATTGTGGACTATTGTTTGATTTCCTAGTCCTGCACTTTGCACTTGATTGGTCACTAAACAGTGACAAAATTATCACTTTATGCTGCACTTTTATGAGCTGGTTTCATGCGTTGTTATGATGTATGCATGCATTTACCATTGACACGGTTTTTACACCATTCAGTCACTTGATTTTATTATTTGATATAAGTACTGTTATTTATTGTTTTTTAGCGCTACACCCTGCTTTTAAAATTTCCGTGACTGTCCTGGTCAAATTGTGACTCTTGGCAACTGCAAGGGAATTCCTGTGAGACAGCTGGCAAATAGACGTGCACATGTGCACAGAAATGTGCAATCGCACGCACGGTGAAGATTGGCTCCAGACGGACTATTTAAAAGGTGCCTCTGCCTGTGCTGAGTGCTGACTGGTCTTCAGCTGTTCCCTGTTTCCTGCTCGTTCCTGTGTGATTCCCTTGTTGCTGACCCGGCTTGTTCCTGACCTGACTCTTTATCACTCTCCTGCTTGATACTCGTTCCTGACCTCGGCTCTGCTCCTGACTTTGGCTTGCTTATGATTTGGTACCTTGCTGTCTGCCCGTTGATGACCCCGGCTATTCCTTTGACATTGCTCCTGTCTCCCATCCCAGCTTCCTGCCTTGTTCTGGTGCACACCTGGCAATCTACCACACCAGCTCTGCTTATCACTACTGTTCCTGAATCAGTGGTCCATCAGTCTTTTAAGGACTCCAGCTGCAAGTGCTGCAAACAACATCTGCTGGCACTCTTGTCCCCTGGTCCTTAGACACCCTCTTCCAGTGGGGTCAGGGTTAGTGACACAAGTGAGGCCGACCTCGTCATTTCTGTCTCCAATCAGGTACGTGACAGCAACTATGATGTCCGCATCTTTGAAAGTTCGCAAGTTGAAAGTTCGTATGCAGGAGACTTACTATAGGTACATTTCTGTCTGCAGGTTAGGTGATATGCTGTGTGAAGCCCAGAAAAATCCACTACATGTGTTTTACTGCATTACTATGCAATTCATACAGGCTGCATTTCTGATATGAATCACAACATGACAGTTCTGTTTGCTTCACGTTTCCTGCAGTAGATCACTGTTAAACAATTGGAAACCTCTTACCCCATGGTTCACATATATGTGGTCGTGCGGGCCGCGTTTTGCGTGGGCACGAGAGCACATTCATTTGAATGGACTCCCATGCCACGCAGGGAAGAAGTCCCTGCACTTCTTCTAAAAACGCAGCCCACACAGGAACCTCGGTTCCCAGTATGGTTGCATTTTTCAGTGCGGGCGGCGTGCCATTAGAACTAATGGCACCTGCCCATGGGTCTGCATTCCTCTGTATGGGTGGTTCGGCTGCATTGATTTTCATGCAGATCCGCAGCGGTACCACCCGCACATATGTGAACCTAGCCTAAGGCCTTGTTTACATGTGCGTTAGCCCAGTGAAGAGCAATCCACTGTGGCTTTTGACAGACAGTAAGTGTTCCCTCCTGCACTACTGCACCATTCAGTTTTTTTGCAGCCACAATGCAAAGTTTTATGTGGTCATGATGCAAAGCATCTTAGCCGCAGCACATGTGCACCCCCATGTACGATATTTTTGAAAGTGGATATTTTTTAGATATATTGTTACACAGTGTTATTTATAACTTTCTTGTTTTAGGTATTTTAACACTTAATATTTAAAGCGTGGTCACACACACACAATTGTTTTGTGCACTCCACAGAGAACATCGTGACTGCAGCTGGATAAATATTTTATTACACTTTTGGCATGGAGTTATTATATTTATACATGTACGCCTCTGCCTGCTGCCTTTGCAGCTTCACTAGAGCTGTTGGTGATGGTGTTTGTTTTGATAACGCTGGTAACGTTAGCTGTGTAAAGTCACATTAAAAATGTGAGTTTTTTCAGCTTTTTTTAGTGTTTTTGCATTAGCGTTTAGCGGCGTTTTCCAGCGTTTGCATCTTTTAGCATTTTTTGATAACAAAAAAATTTTTTTTCTGGTCAAAAAAAGTCCAAAAATGACGGTTTGCGGCGTTTTTTACCGCGTTAGAGCATTTTTCCAGCTAAAAAAAACTCCTTTAGAAACCCACTAATCCTGTTTTTTTTTTTTTTTTTTTTTTTTTTTTTTTTTTTTTCCAGACAGAAAACATCCGTGCCAAAAAACATTTATTACAGTCTGTGTGCATGGACACATAGGATAACATGCTGGGGGGTTTACTAGCTGTAGAAAAAAAAAAACGTCAAAAGCCAAAAACAGCAGCTGTAAAAACGTCCAGTGTACATGAGGACTGAAAATGCAGCTAAACAGCATGTTTTATTGCCTCCGAACCACAAGTGTAAACAAGGCCTTAGGCTGGCCATAAACGAAAAATTGGTCGTTGCCGATGCTGCCACCAATGTCCACAAAAAACGTCAGTTTCTCGTGGATTTTCCAGCATGACCGATAAAAATAAATGAGAAGATCCGCGAAAAACAGCCGACAGGCTGGCCCCACTAACGACGTGAATATCGGTCGATTTTTCGTGTGCGGATGAAAATTCGGCCGATAAACGACCCATCTATGGCCTACATTAGATGTGAATGCAGGAATTCTGACCTAGTAAATAACCATAGAGATAGAGGCTAAAAAGTCATTGGTATCGCTTAAAGTACAGAGTTTGCCCAATAACCAAAAAAGCCTACAACAAAAAAAACATGAATCAAAAATTCACAAGAAAAAGCAGTTACATAAAGGACAAATGCGATACTCATATAGTTATGAAAATATGCTTTATTAGCAAAATTGCACATGAAAGACAATTGAGTCTAGAGTGCCAATAGCCATCACCTCAATTTAACCACTTTCCGTCCGGTCCATGTATATAAACGGCCAATGGGAGCAGTGCAGGGGCAGGTTGCCGTTCATAAATGGCACCCACCATTTTAGCCTGTGCACGCTCCCTGGGAGCACGAGGCGCTGCGATCCGGTGCCCGCTATGTCCTCCTGGACACAGTGGAACACCGATCACTGTACGGGATCTCTGTGTGAGGTCCAGATCTTGTGATCACTGATTTGGCCAATCAGTGATCACTAGAACAGTAGTAAGCAAGTTGTCACTTCCTGACATCATTGCTTACTACTTGTGAAATCTCTGAATGATCACAGAGGTCACATGGTACAAGGTTATTCACCACAGCCTTGTGCCATGTGACAAGCTGTGACCAATCACAGCTCCCACAGTATTTCCCAATGGCTACAAGAATGCAGCCAGAGAGAATGAGAAATGATTGCTTTTACACCCATAAAGGCTGTAAAAGCAATCAGTGTAAAAAAAAAAAACAAACAAAAAAAATCACCCCACACAAGTAGTACAGTGTCACTATAGTGACACTGTACTGCTAGGGAAAAAGTTTTGAAAAATTATAATTTTTGGTTATAAACTAATTTTTTTTTTTTTTTTTTAACTAA